TTGTCACAATTATTATCACTTTCCTCAAAAAAAAGAAAAAAGTTATCTTTAATCTTGACCCATATTCCACTCTGACATTCTAAATATGCCATACTTTATAGATTTTATTTCATTTGTCCACCACATTTCTTCTTCTTTAGGGTACCCCATGACTATAGCAATAAGCAACCTAGTAGCATTTCTTCAGAAACTATTTCCCCATTACAATTCCTTCAGTTGTATCAGCTGAAATTTTTCAAAGGAGCATCTAATCAAAAAGGGCACCCTCGGGAAAAAAGGCACACACATATTGAAGTTTTCTTATGAGTCCAAAGTACCTATATTTTACATTTTCTATGTTATTAACAGACCTTGAACTTTACAATTAATCTGCATTTTATACGTCAGAAAAAAATTATACACTGATCATAACTATAAATATTTAGCAAAAAAAAAAGTTAGATTATCATTCTGACAAGATAAGTATTTCTACAAAATGGCATTCTAGTACTCAAAATAATACTTCTTTGTTTCTAGATCTTTCTAAATTGGGGCATATAACAGTGAGTTGTTATAAGGTACCTAGCCTAAAGTAAAAGAGAAGTTATTGCAAAAATGGAAGTCAAATGGAAGACAAAATCAAACATGGTTAATCCTGGCATAGTACCAATCTCTCATATTCCCTGAAAATTTAACATGCCAAAGTCTGAAAATCCAAGTTATTCTCAAAAGAACAACATTGTGGAAATAAGAATTAATGAGTTTACCCTGAACCCTTAAGGTATTCAACCAATGAATACTAATGAAGTCAGTAAGTTTTGGAAGAAGAATAAAAGAATTAAAAGGTGAGATTATGATACAACAATAATGTCTTTGGGAGAGAGAGAAAACTGGAAAAAAAATACATGAATACCTAAGGTTTTCCAATTAAAAAACCTAAAAAGGTAGGTTTTTATAAAAGTTTGATGGCTATAGTTAGTCATACAGAAGCTTAAACATATATTTAAGTTTCTACTAATAAATATGTGTAAAAAAATTGAAAATTAAACATCTATGTGATAGACAATGAAAATTTTTTCTCAATTTTGGTTTATATAAGTCATTTCATATGTGTTTAAAAACTATGGATTTCAAATTTTTTTGCACCAAAATAAATTCATGCTGACTTGTTACAACACGTATGAACAGGATTTAGTTTTAGG